CCCGACCCAAGGATGTCTACGGTTTGGGAATATCGCTGTTGACATCGCTGGTGGGCGAAGACGACTACCGCACTCAAGCCTATTGTAATCACGTGTGGAACGGCTTCGGCATCGATCAAGTGGATCCGTCCACACGCGCTGTCATCACACGTGTCCACCAAAGTCCAGGACTCGACCATTTGCTCTATTGGATGCTCAGACCCCTACCCGAACAGAGACCCCCTATTCAGTGGGTTATGGGTCACCCGTGGGTTCAACAGCACCACCAGTAATGTGTGACCAAAAAGGCCGGTGCTCTCAATACACGGCGCCGTTTTATTCAAAAAGGATTCAAATCATTTAAAATGTTTACAAATTATTGAAATGAAAGCATTTCTATATTTAATTGAAAGTCTATTAGTAAATGAGTTTTTTTCAAAATTCATGGTTTCACTAATGGTTTTAATTCAAGATATATTAAACATTTATCAAAATGCAATTAACAATCGATAACTATAATAACAATAGACTGTATTATAGTTTGTAAATAATATAATTTTATAATTTCTTTTCTTAAATGAAGTAATTTAAAAATGTTAAAAATATGAAATTATTTGAAAAATAAAGTTCAAACTAAAGGACAGCAAAAGAAAGGTCACAGACATTACAGACACAGACACAAAGACATGGCTGGCAATTGGGGTAATCAGGGTAATCAGCTCAACCAGCACAATATGCAACAGTTGCAGCAGGTGTTGCAGCAAATGATGCAGGGGCAACCACAGGGTAATCAGCCCAACCAGGTTAATGTGCAACAGGTTCAGCAGATGGTGCAACAAATGATGCAAATACAGAGCAATTTGCCAATGGGACCATGGAGTATGTTCCATGGACAGGGGATACCGTTCACTGGGGTTCTACCATGGGCCGAGCAAGTGATTCTCGCGCCCCTCACAGACAGACAAAGAGCGGCAGTGGAGCAGAAGCGGCTGCTCACTATCGAGTATGAGGGCCAGATTAATCAGTACCCGAACCGTGAGGGAGATATCGATCCCAATTTCGGTCTACCGGGCTATGCGTTCGGCCAACCGGGCTATAGGGAACACCACCGGGTCCAACTGGAATTGGAGGGCTTCGAGTTGGTGGCACCCATCGCACAAGAAGAGGTCAACCTATACGACAACCAGGTGTGGCGGGTGCGACGGGTGGGCACCGTTGAGGAGTACGCCATGAAAGTGGCCAGTTTGCAGTACTACCGGCGACCCACATATTTGGCGGCCGTCGAGCGCTTATCGCACGAGACCAATACGCTGGATCTGCTCGCACACCAAAACATCATCGATCCCGTGCGCGTATTCGGTCTCATAGACCCGACCACAAACGTTTGGCCGGTCAACTTGTTTTGCTGTACGGTTATGGAGCTGATGGCCGGCACACTCGATCAGTGGCGGACGGAACAAACCTACGGCTGCATTACGCCCGCAGAGGGCCACCAGTGGTTCCGGCAGATCGGCGACGCCGTGGACTATATGCACAACAGAGCGCCCAAACGGGTCTCCCATTTGGCCATTAGGCCGGTGAACATACTGTACCGCTTTGACGGACCCGACCGGCAGTACAAGTTGATCGACTTCGAGGAGGCGGTAGTATTGGAGCCAAACGCTGCGGACGAATATCCCATACGCATTGAACCCCTGTTGAACAACTGGTCAGCGCCAGAATCGTTCAACGAACAGACGGGCCAACCCACCCAACCCAAGGATATCTACAGTCTGGGCTTCTCTCTCATGACCACACTGTTGGGCGAAGACGACCACCGTTTGCACGCCTATTTCTATCACGCGTGGTTTGGGCGGCCCCTGGAGACCATTCAGCCCATGGATGAGCCCACGCGCGCTCTTATCACACGTGTCCACCAAAGTGCAGGACTCGACAATTTGCTGCGTTATATGCTCAGACCCCACGCCCACGAAAGACCCACTATTGGTCAGGTTATGGCTCACCCATGGGTTCGACAGCAGCCGCAGTAATGGGACTATAGGTCCAGTGCTCTCCACACATACACACACAGAGCGCCCTCTCATTCAACAAAAGTTTCACAATTCATTCAAATGAAAGTATTTTTATATTTGATTTCAAGTCTATTAGTAAATGAGTTTTAGAGAAATATTTGCGTTTAATTTTGGGTTTAAATTCAATTTACTATTACGTATTTGTGTTTAAATGTGATGCTAACAAATACAGTGTTGTAATAAAACGCACATTGTCAAAAACAAATACACATGAACAATTGTGTAAATGATTAGTACCCGAACAAAGAGCCCCTATTGAGTTATTCTCATGACATAATGACTCACCCGTGGGTTCAACACAAGCACCAGTAATGTGTGGCCAAAAGATCCGGTGCTCTTAATACACGACGCCGTTTCATTCAAAATGTATATTCAAATCATTTAAAATGTTTACAAATTATTGAAATGAAAGCATTTCTATATTTAATTAAAAGTCTATTAGTAAACGAGTTTTTAAAAAAATCATGCTTTCACTTACGTTAGGGTTTTATTTCAAGATATATTAAACATTTATCAAAATGAGATTAACAATCGATAACTATAATAACAATAGACTGTATTATAATTGTAAATAATATAATTTTATTTCTAAAATGAAATCATTCAAAAATGTTAAAAATATAAATTACTTATTGTTTTAAAGTTCAAACTAAAGGATAGCGAAAGAAAGGCCACAGACATCACAGACACAGACACAAAGACATGGCTAACAATCAGCGTATTCAGCTAAACGTGGGCAATGTGCAATCAGCGACACAACCTGCGATCCAAGCACGGTGGAATGCTGCTCAATTTGGGACTAGACCGCCGGGCCTAACATCGGCATTGTTCAGTGGGCATCTACCCGGGGATGAGGTAGTGAGAGAGGCCCCCCTCACACCCAGACAACAAGATGAACGCTTAGTGAGGCGTGCGCTCACAGATTTGCTGCTGAACCAGCCTGATCGGTACGGGAACCGTCCGGGAGATATCGATCCCAATTTCGGGCAACCGGGCTATGCGTTCGGCCAATCGGGTTATGCGGACCATCACTTGAACCTATTGGCAGTGAAGGGCTACGAGTTCGTGGCTGAGATCGCAGGGGTTGGCGATGACCTGTACGACAATCAGGTGGTGAAAGTGCGACAACTGGCCCCTCCTCGTCAAGAGTACGCCATGAAAGTGGGCAGTTTGCGGTACTACCGGAAACCCACATATGCGGAGGCTATTGAGCGCATATGGCTCGAGACCAATACGCTAAGAATACTCCGCCACGAGCACATCATGGAACCCGTCCATGTATTCGGTCTCATCCGACCACTCAACACCTTTGGCGGGAATCGATCTATCTGTTCAGCTGTATGGTTATGGAGCTGATGGACGGCACACTCTCGGCGTGGCAGTGGAGTCAACCCCACGCCAGCATTACGCCCGATGAGGGCCGCCAGTGGTTCCGGCAGATCGCGTCCGCTGTGGACTATTTGCACAACAGAGCGCCCAGACGTGTCTCCCATTTGGCCATTAGGCCGGAGAACATACTCTACCGCTTTGTCGGACACCAACGGCTCTTCAAGTTGACCGACTTCGAGGAGGCGGTCACAGCGGACCACGGTGCTCCGGACGAATATCCAATACGAATCACTGCCGGTCTAAACACATGGTCAGCGCCAGAAACAAACCAACCCAACCAAGAGCTGACGACCCAACCGACCAAACCCAGGGATATCTACAGTTTGGGATTCTCTCTCTTGACCACACTGTTGGGCGAAGACGACACCCGTTTGTACCGCTATGTGTTTCACGTGTGGTACGGCTATCCCTTGGAGGACCTGCAAAACCTGCCGTACATGTTGCCCATGGATGAGCCCACGCGTATGCTTATCACACGTGTCCACCAAAGTGCAGGACTCGACAATTTGCTGCTTTATATGCTAAGACCCCACGCCCACCAAAGACCCACTATTCAGCAGGTTATGGCTCACCCATGGGTTCAACAGCAGCCGCAGTAACGGGACTATAGGTCCGGTGCTCTCCACACACACACAGCGCTCTCTCATTCAACAAAAGTTTCACAATTCATTCAAATGAAAGTATTTTATATTTGATTTCAAGTCTATTAGTAAATTAGTTTTAGAGAAATATTTGCATTTACTATTATTTGTGTTTAAATGTGCTGCTAACAAATACAGTGTTGTAGTAAAATACACACTGTCAATAACAAATACACATGAACAATTGTGTAACTGATTAGTAAATGGTGTACATTTCAAGGTTTAAGTAGAGGATATGCGCGTTATACACGGGGTGCGCGTTATCTATGAATAATTTTTTATTCATAAATATTGTTAAATTTCTTACTGCGCGTTATACACGGGGTGCGCGTTGTCTATGGGATATTACGGTACTATTATTTGTGTTTAAATGTGCTGCTAACAAATACAGTGTTGTAGTAAAATACACACTGTCAATAACAAATACACATGAACAATTGTGTAACTGATTAGTAAATGGTGTACATTTCAAGGTTTATTGATAGTGGTAATCAAAACAATGGAAATTAACCTAAATCAATTATGCACATTATAATAATTGTGTTGCAAAAACATCAAAATCTTCCTTGCTTACTCTTATACTGTATATAAAGTTCATTTACCTTCATGAAAATTAAATTCTTAATTAGTGATAAAGAACATTTGTATCCCAGTTAATAGGTAACACGATCAATCTTGGGGGATTATTATTATTATTATCAAAATGTTCATTTAGAATAACAAATAAAAGTGAGAACTAAAACAGATTGTACATGATAAAAAGTTTGCTTTTAAGTTTTATATATAAGTAGGACACGACTTACAAACATTCAATAAGTTAAAACAATAACTTATAAACAGTTATTATTAATAATAATAATTTATTTCTAAATTATAAAATAGGAAAAACTATCAAGAAACTTTAACAATTGTTACAAATATGCATTTTCTATACGTACTATCAGTGGTGGCAATGGTTAGCGGCGCTCAAATCGATACCAAATATTATGACTACAGTATTGAAGACTATATGAAAGTAAAAGAGTCGCGAAATTTCACGGGAAAAGTGATTTTGACGACCGGCTCGTCGTCGGGCATCGGAGAGGGTATTGTCAAACTGTTTGCAATACTCGGCGCACATGTGGTCGTCACCGGACGTAACCAAACCGAGATCGACATCGTGGCCAAAGAGGTCGAGCAGTTGTCGCCCCAGCATTTAAAAGTATTTATAAATTAATCATTTAATAAATTACATGTTGAAAATTAATTGTTACTTTATTATGCATAAGACAATATAAAAACTATGGTTAACTGTTTTACAGCCATTGAAAATAAAGGCAGATTTGACCAAAACTAGTGAAATGCAGTTTCTGTTGAACGAAACGATTAAAACGTATGGAAAACTCGATGTTTTGGTGAATAACGCGGGCATCGGATCAATGGCTCAGTTGATGGACAAAGACTTTATGAAATCATACGACAGTGTCTTCAGTATAGACCTGCGGGCAGTGGTTGAGCTTAACCGTCTGGCCGTCCCTCACCTCAATCAAACCAACGGCACTATTATACACATATCCAGTATGTGTACTCACGCACCCGTAAGGCTTACCATCAAAAAATATATATATTATTTTAATTAATACTTTTTGCATGATTTCAATCACAGACTAACTTAGGTCTGGATTACTCGATGGCCAAAGAGGCCATGAATATGATGACCAGAGTAATGGCTATGGAGTTGGGCCCATACATTCGTGTCAACACATTAAGGTGATTATTATAAAAATTATTTAATTATGTTTTTAATCATTATTGTTTTGGTGACAGTCCGGGCGCTATACTGACTGCCGGTTTCCGCGACAGTAAAGTGCCTATAATTGTAAAGTTGAGGGAAAGGGCTCTCCATAACGCGCCACTCAAACGCTTTGGTCAACCCCTGGACATCGCTAAAGGGGTTGTATTCCTGGCCTCAATCGATGCCGAGTTCCTGACCGGCGAAGAACTGGTCATCGATGGCGGACTCATCTATAATTACGGCGGTATTATTGAATAAAAACACGATATGTTTTAATTATTGATAGTTACAATTTTAAAAAAAAGTATAATCTAGTTATTAAAGTTACATGAATAAAATAAATTGCACTTAATAAAATAATTATTAATTGGAAAATCAATTAAATAGTATCAAATTTAACGAAATAATTGCATTCATGTTTGCTTAATATGAGTGCTATTATATAAAAAGCACTGCAAAAGTACATTAGAGATAAATAAAATGTTAAGTGTTGTATTTATCAGCGATATTATTGTTACTATTGTTGTCAATAACATTGCATCTTTAGCAAAGTGCAAATAAAAAGTACATTTATAACTATTTCGTATATAAACCAAACGGTTTACTCATTTATAGATCATTCATAATTACAATCAAACTTTAAATTTTATATATATAATAGTGTTTAATTATTTAAATTCAAAATGAGTGAAACCCAGAGTTTAAGCGCCGAAACTTTCAAAGAAGTGTTAAAGTCCCGCGACTTCACCGGTAAAGTAGTGTTAGTGACGGGCAGTAGTGGCGGAATCGGTGAGGCTATTGTCAAACTGTTTGCCTATTTGGGCGCTCAGATTGTGGTCACAGGACGTAACGTCGAGTCCATCAAACGGGTGGCCGCAGAGGCGCGAGAGTTGTCGCCCAAAAAGCTCAAGGTAATCGCACTTTAAATTAAGCAAAATTTTACAATACGTAATATTTTTAATACAATGTAATTAAATATCTATTTAAAAGCCGTTAGAAGTTGTGGCGGATCTACAAAAGAGTGTGGATTTGAAGCGATTGCTAATCGAGACAATCGACACATACGGACGACTGGATGTGTTGGTCAACAACGCCGGCGTCGGTAGCGTCTCATCGGTCAGAGACGACAACTTTATGAATGCCTTCGACACTACGATAAATACAAATCTGAGAGCAGTTCTAGAGTTAAGCCATTTAGCGGTTCCCTATCTGGAGAAGACGAACGGCACGATTATCAACAACTCTAGTATTGTCTCACTTTATCCGGTATTTAACATTAAATATTTTTTAAAAACATAATCTATTTATAATCTATATTCACAGCACGCGTTAGGACTGGCCTACTGTGTGGCCAAAACAGGTCTGGATATGGCCACCAAAATACTGGCCCTCGAGTTAGGGCCCAAAATTCGGGTCAATTCTGTTAAGTAAGCGATTAATACAAAATAAATTATTTAAACAATAATTAAATTACAATTAATTAATTAATTTAAACCACATTTACAACAGTCCGGGCACAACACTTACCGACTCGTTTAGATCCCTGGCCTCCAAATCGCAGGTCTTTAAAGACATGATAATCCGTTCGGAGACTAACGCACCGTTAGGTCGTGTGGGCTCGACCTTTGACATCGCCAAAGCGGTCACATTCCTGGCCTCGACTGACGCCCAATACATAACGGGTGCTATACTTGTGGTGGACGGCGGACTCGTCCACAACAATGCCGGTCCATTCCCCTGATTATAATTGTAATCATTAGTAATCGTATAATATTATCAGAAATTAATTTGACAAATACAACAATTTAAGTTTTATGTTTAATTTTATTTTGATAAATATATTGTTTATTAGTGATTGAAACAATTAAACTACATTAAATTTTAAATAATTACAAACACTTTCAAAAAGTTTACCAAAACTTTCATTGAAAATGCCTTTCAAACATTGAAAATACAGTATATTTTTAATAATTACAAACACTTTCAAGAAGTTTACCAAAACTTTCATTAAAAATGCTTTTCACACATTGAAAATACAGTATATTTTTAATAATTACAAACACTTTCAAGAAGTTTAGACATCGCTAAAGGGGTTGTATTCCTGGCCTCAATCGATGCCGAGTTCCTGACCGGCGAAGAACTGGTCATCGATGGCGGACTCATCTATAATTACGGCGGTATTATTGAATAAAACACTATATGTTTGTAATTATCACATATAATAGTTACGATTTTAAAATTACAGTATTGTCTAGTTATTTCATGAATAAAATTAATTGCATTTAAATTTATGTTTGTAATTATTATTATTATTTTGGAAATCAATTAAATATGATTAAAAATATCGAATTAATGGCATAGTTGTTGTGTAACCATTTGAGAAGCACTGAAAAAGTACATTAGAGATAAATCAACAGTGAAGTGTTTTCTACAAGCACAAGCGACCTTCACAAACTGCATTATAATCGAAATAAAGGTAATTGAACGTTAACATATTCTGTACAATAACATTGCATTTTTTGAAAAGTGCAAACAAAAAGTACATTTATAGCAATCGTATATAAACTAAACGCTTTACTCATTAATAGATCACTTAATAAATACAATTAAACTTGATTTAAAATTTATATATAAAATAGTATTTTGTTAGTCATTTGTATTCAAAATGAGTGAAACCCAGAGTTTAAGCGCCGAAACTTTCAAAGAGGTGTTAAAGTCCCGCGACTTCACCGGTAAAGTAGTGTTAGTGACGGGCAGTAGTGGCGGAATCGGTGAGGCTATTGTCAAACTGTTTGCCTATTTGGGCGCTCAGGTGGTGGTCACAGGACGTAACGCCGAGTCCATCAAACGGGTGGCCGCAGAGGCGCGAGAGTTGTCGCCCAAAAAGCTCAAGGTAATCGCAGTTTAAATTAAGCAAAATTTTACAATACGTAATATTTTTAATACAATGTAATTAAATATCTATTTAAAAGCCGTTAGAAGTTGTGGCGGATCTACAAAAGAGCGTCGATTTGAAGCGATTGCTAATCGAGACGATCGACACATACGGACGACTGGATGTGTTGGTCAACAACGCCGGCGTCGGTAGCGTCTCATCGGTCAGAGACGACAACTTTATCGATGTCTTTGACACTACAATAAATACAAACCTGAGAGCAGTCCTCGAGTTAAGCCATT